TATTCTACACATATCATAATACTACATCATAAAGTAAGAACAAAATTGGAAAATAATACTAAAAGTATTCGTTTTAAAAATGCACACTTTTTAAAAAGGGAAAGATTTTATATACTAATAAAGAGTATTATGTTCTTTTTTTAAGACAATAAAAAGTGTTTTATTTTTGGATAAATAAGTCAAAGGCACACTTGCACAAAGTCCTTTGTACACTAGTGTTGAAGTGTTGAATTGAACGAGTCTATAGACTTCCGACTTCAAAATTAAATCAGTATTTTCAAACACACGGTTAGGAAAATTGAAGGCTGCAGGAATGACAAACAAATCCAGTCTTTGATGAGAGGAAAATATGTTGGAGTATGCGTCCAAATTTTTTCGAGTAAATTTCATAAAAGGTCCTTACTTAGAGAAACTCCAATGGGAGGGGTATGTGAAAGGGTAAGGTGGAATAATTGTGAGATATACCTCTTTTCATTAAAAATTATTCTCCAATGGGAGAGGTAAATAAGGAGGCATTATACTTTCTTCAATTTTGAAGAGGTATCTTTACCTTCTTCATTTGGGGAAGTATATCAACTTTTCCTTCCTTTTAAATTCATTTCATCAATTACTTTAGTTGTTGTATTTTTGCTTGAATGTATTATTACAATTTTTTTTAATTTGTATCTTTGTAATTGTAAAACTTAACGACTCAAGAATTAACAAAAAAAGGATACTTTGTTTTCTAATTTTGCACTCTGTATTTTTAAGTTTTTTCTATTCGGGTATTTATAATTTTACATGTGCAATTAGTCATAATGGATATTTAATTATTTCAAAACTGACATTCTAATTTATCCCCAATAAATTAGTGGTATTTTTATAAAATCTTTAAATTTAAAAATTTAATCAGGAAGAAACAAAGGCAACAAATCTCAAATTTACCTCCCCATGATTTTTTTAAGAATGTATGTTTTCTTTTCTAATAATTAGAATTTGATTTAAGTAGGCAAATCAACTAATTTTTTCCCAATAATATATGGAGATGGATTTTTTTTCCTCTTTTACCTTTTGATTTACTTTCTCCCATTGGAGTTGCACACCTTTTGGAAAGGTAAACTTGATCACTTGGAGAGGTAATTGAGATATATACCTCTCCATAATACCTCACACCATTGGAGTTGCTCTTATAGATTGCTTTACATATTTAGTTCCTACATATCAAATATTATTAATTTAGTCCCTAATTATTATGTCATTTTTCATGAATGGTCCTTTGTTAACGTTTTTTTAAGAACATGAATAAAATTGTATATTCACACTTCTCTCTCTACTCAATTAAGTTTTTTCTCTGTACTATTTCCCAAACTCGTCGATGTGTTTGAAGCTCTAAACCCAAAACCTAAATGGTCACTTCTCTCTCAATTATTAGTCTTCCCGGTGGAACCTAAAATCAAAACTAATAAGCTTTATGGATGAGTTTTATCGGTTAGTCTCAAGAAATTGCAAAGAAAATAAACATTGAAAAATCATTCATTAAGGTTACTGGTTTTGAATTTGGGTTTCACCAGTTCGACAAACAATTGAGAGAAGAATGATGATTTCAGTTTTGGGATCAAACCTTCAAAACTCAGCGACAAGTTTGAGAAATAAGTGAGAGGGGAGGGAGCAAGTTTAATTGAGGAGAGAAAGGAAGATGAATTTACAATTTTATCCACATTCTTAACGAAAATGTTAATAATTGAGGACTAAATTAGTAATATTTGATATGTAGTGACTAAATATGTAAAACGACCTATAACTGAGGACCTTTTATGAAATTACTCAAATTTTTTTCGTTTTGACTTAGCACGGAGTTAAGAAAAGTTAAAAAGTGTAAAAAAACTCATGTTTTATTCTTGATGTGATGAGATAAAACGAATAGTGAAGATGTGGTGGTATATTGAAACATTTATTAAAGTTTTGTTGCAAAAACATGAAACGAAAATGAAATTTTTGGACGATTCAAAAAAGAAAGTCAGAAAGAAGTTAATTGACGGAAGGAGTATTTTCTAACTTTTGGATCATAAATTTCAACTTTTGATATATTAATTGAAAAATTTACCTAAATAGGACTAAAACATAATGACTTTCTCAATATACGACTATATATTTTTATTTTCCAATGTAGGACCATTAATCATTATTCATCCATATCCATACTTTATTTAAAAAGATATGAAGTCAATATTGCATTTTTCCGCCCAAAGACTATGACCATTACGTATGGTAATGTGAAGTTAAAATGGTAAGTGTCCGAAATTATAGTAATATAAAATTTACATTTTATAAGAATAATTATTATATTATATTTATAATAATTAAGTTTCATAATTATTTAGAATTACCATTTTTGAAGTAAGGAAATAAAAATCCGGAAATGACCATTTTTAATTTTTTTCTCCTTTCACTGATAAAAATTTTAAGGTATTATATTTAATAAGACTGATTATTATTAAAAATGGTAATAATGTAGACCGACGTAATTCGAATTAAATAAAAAAGGTAATTTCCGGATTTTTATTTCCTTACTTTAAAAATGGTAATTTTAGTCTTAATTTTTCTCCTTGTAAAAATTTAAAAGAATTATATTTAATAAGACTGATTATTATTAAAAATGGTAAAAATGTAGACCGATTTAATTACAAATTAAATAAAAAAAAGTAATTTATTATGACTGATTATTATTAATAGGCAAACATTATTATTAAAAAATATTAATAAATTTTAATACACGCCAATCAATGCTATTAAAAACGTGTGTATGATTATTCTTAACATAATTATATAATTATATGATTACCGTGTGACTGGGTTATATAAAAAAACGTGTGTATAATTATAGTATTATATAATTATGGTAAGAATAGTTATACACACTGTTTCAAAAAAAATTAATACGGTAAAACCCTTTATATACATACATGTATATATGTGTGTGTGTGTGTGTGTATATATATATATATATATATTAAAATAGCAAGAAAGGTAATAACCAAAAAATGTAATAATTATTACTCCGTGCAATTTTTACCCATATAAATGGTAAGTGTCCGAAATTATAGTGCCCATTTTAACCCATGCACGAAGTATGTCTATTACATATGGAAATTGTGAAGTTAAAATGGTAAGTGTTCGAAATTATAGTAATATAAAATGGTAATTATGAAGTTAATATAATTATTTTTTATAATAATTAACGGTCATTTTTTAAGTGTCCGAAATTATACTAGCAAGAAAGGTAAGTTATAAAATTGGAAGGCGTAAATTTTTATTAAAATTAGAATCTTACATGTGATTTTAATTATAGTCATTTTAATTAAAATTATATGTTACGTGTGATTACCGTGTCAAATTAGTTATAATAATTAAATGTTAATTACTGTGTCAAATTAATTAAAGTAATTTTAATTATAGTAATTTTAATTAAAATTGTTTATTACGCTATTAATGAAATCTAATATTACGTGTGACTACATAATTGTATATTAATTACCGTGTCAAATTAATTATAGTAATTTTAATTGAAGTAATTTTATAATGGCTATATTTTAATTATAGTGGCTATATTTTATAATGGCTATATTTTACTATATTTAATTATAGTAATTTTAATAAAAAAAGGTAATAATTAACCAAAGTATTATTTATATAACTGTGTAACTACCTAATTGTATACTCCGTATTAATTAATGTGTCATTTTAATTATAGTAATTTTAATTATAGTAATTCTAAATATAATAATTTAAATAATTTAAATAAAGTAATGGTAATTGTTAAGTATTTAAAGATGGTGAGAAATTAAAGTGTCCGAAATTATAGTAATATAAAATGGACTATAACTACGGTAAGAAATAAATATTCTTTAAATCTATATATTTACGTTTAATAGCGAGAAAGGTAATAACCAAGAAAGGTAATAATTAGCTATCATTTTTAAAGTGTCCGAAATTATAGTACTAAGAAAGGTAATAATAAAAAAATGTAATAATTGATCACGGTGTTAATTATATAACTATGTGACGACATAATTGTATATTAATTACCATGTCAAATTAATTATAGTAATTTTATAATAGTAATTTTATAGTGGCTATATTTTAATTATAGTGGCTATATTTTATAATGGCTATATTTTACTATATTTTAATTACAGTGATTTTAATAAAAAAGGTAATAATTAACCAAGGTATTAATTATATAAACGTGTGACTAGATAATTGTATGCTCCATATTAATTACTGTGTTATTTAATTATAGTAATTTTAAATATAATAAATTAAATAATTTAAATATAGAATAGTAATTTAAATTCGTTATAGCACTTTGAAAAATGAATAATTTTTTTAATCCCGTATGCAAAAATCATATTATAAATACATTCATTTACAAAGCTTTCATAACCATTACATTCATCGTGAATTTTTTCCTTACGTTTTAAAACTGTCATTCCTACAAAAAATGAGGATCTTAACTACTTTGAAAATGTTGATGAGAGGTCATCGATGTTAATCTAACATGTTTCCGTAACAATAATCTAACATGTTTTAGTCATGGACAACTCTATGTTGCAGTTTTAAGAGTAACTAATCGTAGTGGGTTGAACATTCTGATATGCAATGAAGAAAATATTTCCACAAAATATAAACTTTAAACCCTAGCTAGATAGTATTAGACATGAACAAAGATTAGGATTCTTTGTTCACATCTTTTCGTTTTCTTCTTGTATGCATACTAGACTCCAACTCTAAGTAAAACAACTACAAATTATTCTACATAATCCTACTCGTTTGTCAAAAAATAATGAGAACACTAAATGAAACTATTTGTTGTTCCTTCACCCATACCTTTTAAATAAACTAGCTAATTTTTTTCTTTTAGTTTAGCTCATCCTGTTGTGATTGTGACTAAAACCAGAAGCAGATTGATTATTACTCCATATTAATTGAAGAAGAAGAGGAGGAATATGCAAATGCGATGAATGCATCGTTCTTCCATAATTCATCAACTCCGGCACTGCGCAAGGCGCCAATCTCCATTGCAGGGCATGAAACTCCATGCCCAAATTGTAAAGAACGGCCAAGACAAATGTGATGCCCCCATCTACTCTAATGGTCTCATCGACATGTATGGCAAATGCCACCTACTGAAAGATGCCCGCCAGGTGTTCGACGAAATGCCCCAAAGGGACTTAGCCTCGTGGGCTTCCCTCTTCACCGCCCACAACCTCGCTGGCCTTCCCCTATCCACTCTCTCCATCTTCCCAAACATGTCGCGCCTCGACGGCTTTCGACTTGACCACTTTGTTTTCGCCAGCCTCGTCAAGGCTTGCGCTGACCTTAGTACCCTGAGAGTGGGAAAACAGGCGCACATGCAGTTCATCGTGTCGCCCTTTTCGCACGATGATGTCGTGAAGTCTTCCCTCGTCGACATGTACGCTAAATGTGTGGCCATTGATCATGCCCGAAAGGTTTTTGACTCTATCTTCCACAGGAATTTGATTTCGTCTGCTGCTATGATTTCTGGGTATGCCCGGAATGGGATGAAGCCTGAAGCCATGGAACTTTTTCACTCTTCTCAGGTGAAAACCATATCCACATGGACTGCATTAATATCTGGAATGGTGCAAAGTGGGGAATTTTTTGACGCATTTAACCTGTTTATCGAAATGAGAAAAGAGGGTGTTGATATTTCAGACCCATATGTTCTTTCCAGCATCATTGGAGCTTCTTCTAGTCTTGCAGCTCTGGACCTTGGCAAACAGATCCATTGTTTGGTCATCATTTTCGGTTACGAACCCAACCTCTTTGTTAGTAACTCACTCGTGGACTTGTATTCCAAGTGGTCCGATGTGCTGGCATCGAAAACCGTATTCGATGACATGGAAATTAGAGACGTTGTCTCATGGACATCGATCATTATTGGCATGGCACAACATGGGAAAACAAATGATGCTTTGTAGCTGTATGACAAAATGGTCTCAGAGGGGTTCAAGCCAAATGAAGTCACTTTCACAGGACTAATCTCTGCGTGTAGCCACTTTGGCTTGGTAGAGAGAGGCCGTGGCCTTTTCAAGTCCATGACTGAGGATTATGGTTTGACTCCATCTCTGCAGCATTATACGTGTCTGTTAGATCTATTGAGCAGGTCTGGACTTCTCGACGAGGCTGAAAACCTGCTCGAAATAATGCCATTTGAACTGGACGAAGCTGCTTGGGTGGCACTCTTAAGCGCTTGCAAGAGGCACGTGGCTGTTGAGATGGGGATGAGAGTCGCGAATCGTGTCATGAATGTGGGGCCCGTCGAGGCATCGACGTGCGTCTTGTTGTCTTTGGTTTATGCGGGCGCGGGCATGTGGGGGAATGTGTCTAAACTGAGGGGATTGATGGCCAGTTTGGAGGGGAAGAAAGAGCCTGCTTATAGTTGTGTTGGTTTGAGTGGGGAATGTGATGTCAAGTCTGCTTGTGTATAGTTTCCAGAAAACAACTTAATTTACTTTGTTTTGTTTTAAGGGCCTTGAAATTATATTTTCTTTATCATCTTTGTATTTTGGATGTGATTCTTTTTTATGTCAAACTACTTATGAAACAAAAGTTCGAAGTGAGGATGAAATTATATTGAATAATGCTAAGGTGCTACCACATGGGTGCTACTATGGGTGTACCCATACTTTGCATAGACAAACACATACGATAATCGTTTTTGTCGCACAGACGATTAACGTCTGTATTTGCCTGTGCGAAGCATGAATGCACCCATAGTAGTATCCATGTGCTGGTACCCTAGCATGACCCAATTATATTTCCTATGAGTGGGATTTTTTTTATTGTTTTTAATTGTTTTGATGCCTTGGAAATTGTATTTTCTAATGGTAGGATTCTTTTGATGTCAATTTTCTTAAAAAACTGAAGTTATATGGGGTCTTACAATGATGTATTGGCTCTTAAATTAAGTCTTACCTCTGCCAAACTCCACCCCCCACCCCCTACCCTACGTTACTCATTGGTGGCAATGGGGTCTGGGCCCCTTTGAACCCCCTAGGGCAACCCGTCCTAGTTTAGTCTCCGACTTCCATGACCAATGAAGCATCGTATGACCCTAAATGGCCAGTGTGAACAACTAAGGGCAGTGTGCCAGTGTAAAAAACGTCTAGCCCATAATTTTGGTAGTTTCTAATGATAACAATTTTTAGTGTCATATTATCACATCGAAGTTATTTAGGCTCCAAAGTGCGTCCTATCCAGACCTGGACAAGGTTTCGGTTCTTGGTACCGAAACTAGAACCAAAATGTTTGGGCCAGGGTAGGTGGAAACGGTACTGGAAACTTTTCGGGCAAAATCGGTTTTGGTTCTAGATTTGGGATTTTGGGACCAATTTTATTTTTTATTTATTTTTTTCAGTTTTCTAGTACTACATTTAGATTAGCTATTTTATACTCGAAAGCAACAACTACATTTAGATAAGTATTTGAGCCATAAACTATCATTTATGTACCAAAAATTTAATTTTTACAAAAGAAGTTCCGAAGCCGGTACCGGCAATAGTACCCCTCCCCATCGGCAATTCCAGTGTGGAACCGGCGGTTACATAACCACCTACTCCATTTAGGTGGAGTGCAGAATAGTATGCTGGTAACTTGATATCTACTTTTGTCTTCTTGTTGGCATATCTTGTCGTTGCTTTGTATGTGAATTATTTAGCGAGATGTGCATATATACTTCTTTTGTCCAATAAAAAAATTTACGTTTCTCTTTTTTGTTTATCCCAAAATGTTTCACTTTTTACGATTTAAATTCATTTTTCTATATCTGTGCCTAGTTTTTTTAGAAAATGGTGGGAGTATGTGTTTTTTTTAATAAAAAGGACTAGAGGTAAATCCATTGGACTAAAGGTTAGAGCATCTCCAATGGAGAGGGTAAAAAGTGTACATTGTTAAATATACACTTTATACAATACAATATATACATTTTAACCCCTCCAATGGATAGTGTAAATAATGCACTATAGTCCAAAATACAGTTCTCAACATCTATATATAGACACTCTCCTATTCAAATCTTGTAAAAAAAAATTTACTAAAATAATGCATGATTAATCTTGTTAATTCTTCTTATCCAATATAATTTATTTAAAATATCTAAATATTAATAAATTATTATTACTCTTTCAATTACTTTTATAAATAATTTTTTACTAAAATGTTGTAGTACATTTTTTTAATTTTTTTTACTAATTTTTTTATTTCTTGTTTCTTAATACTCTATAACCATAGTTTAAAATATATGTGTCATCAGAATTTTTAAAGCTGTATATATTATCACAATTAAATAACTTAAAATTATAGCGAATAAAAGTGTATTATATAGAAGACCAGTATTTTAACCCGTGCCATGCACGGGGTGGAATGAATTTTTTGTTTTGAAATTTTGATTTTTCTTCGCTACAACATTTTTATAAAATCAAAAAATAAAACATCAACCTTAAAAGTTAACATGTGATAAAATATACTTCATCCGTCCCACAAAACCTTTCTCCTTTTGACTTTGAAAGGGTATAAAGAGAGGAAATATTTGCACTAAATAGCACTAAAACTTAAGTCATTTCCCTAAATAACACTTAAACTGTTTTATTCTCTAAATAGCACTTATAATGTCCATAATGTCCAGTGATGGCGAAATTTTGCTTGAATAATGACTAATGCATAATGACTAAAAGTGCTATATTGGAAAAAAAACATATGTAGTGCTATTTAGGGAAAGTCATTATGTTTTAGTGCTATTTAGGTAAATTCCTCATAAAGAGGGTATATTTTGGTGTTGAATAAATTAATAGTGAAAAAATGTGATGTGAAAGACATGTTAATAATTAGTTGGGCTAAAAGTGAATTTTTTTTATAGAAATGAGAAAGTGTTTTAGGACGAATGAAAAAAGAAAGGAGAAATGTTTTGTGGCGCGGGAGGGAGTATTATATTTGCTAATGAAAATTATACTGTATATATATTTGAAATTTAGCACGTCACGCTCTTATTTAAATTAGAACATTTTAAAAAATTAAGGTATATACTCCCTTAGTTCATGAGTATTTGTCCATTTTTGACTTTTTTGGTCAATATTGGTAATCTTTGACTTCAAATTAAATAAAAATGATATTAGATATTGATACAAAAAATAGTGTTATTAGATTTATTATATCAAATATTTTTTAAAATATTGTTTTATCTAATTAATAAACTATATATATATATAATTTTATTATAGGTCATAGGGTGAAAACAGTTGACCGAAAAAAGTCAAAACTGGAGAAATAATCAGGGACAAAGAGAGTAACATTTTTGTATGATTTATAAGGACTGCCAAAAACATCTAAAATTTATAATTTCAACCTGACTTTTTTCTCACTCACTAAATAATAATATTGCTGGGATTATTAAGATCATCAAACACTTCGTTGCAATATGTTTCCATAATGATATGCCTCCAATCTTTGTTCTTGATCTAGCATAAAGCCTCATTTACTTCAATTACCTCCGCTTCTCTGGGTCTAAAATATCATCTACAATGTAAATTATGTGCAGCACTTAAAGCCGTTGACAGTTTCGAGCAGTAAAATCGAAACCCGAGACCCTATCGGCCAATCGCGTCGAAGCATCGACATTAATCTTGACATAGACATTATACAACCTCCATTCATAGACAAAAATATGATTCTCCCCACTTTAGTTTAGATTATCAAATAAAATTGATTCATTTTTCGCATTAATATGATTCTCTTCCCTCATAATGATTAAAGAATATTATTTTTCTTTCTACGGATTAATTAAAAAATATATTGTGACTCTATTTTTATTCTCCTTGCAATAGTTATAATTCAAAGAGTATGATTCTTGAATTTTGCATCACTGCATTAATTTTGATTATCAAAATAAATATTAATCATCTCTCTCGCACTATTATGATTTTCCTCTCTCGTATTGATTAAAAAATATACTCGAACTATTAAATTATGAATACTTTTTTTCTATTATAATATATTTATAGTTTAGTCATCTTTTATTTTATATATCATTTAATGTGGTTTTTAAAATATATTGTTTGTTATTAGCTACCATTGATACGCCAGAATTATCCAACGATTAAAATCCCAAAGAATCGTTGGGTTTGCAGTTGTTATGGAATGAAATCTTCATAATCTATAATCTCTTTGCTAATCTGTGTTTGATTTTGCCCAGAAAAGGAAAGGAGATGGTGAAAGAATTTGGGAGAAGAAAAGGAAAGCTGCGTGTGACTCTCTCCAGCGAAGAAACGGAAGACTTAGTTTTCTTTTTTTGGATTTGCGTAATTTCTTCTTTTTTTCCTTTTTGGTTTAGGTTTCATGCCACCTCACCTTCCACATCATTTTGTTTTCTTAAAAAAATGACACATCAGCCTCGCCACATGTCCCGCTACAGCTCCGCCAAATGTCGCATTCCTGCAGCTCCGACTCTGCTTTATATATATAAAGGATATGGTTGGAGTGAATATAAAAAAGTGGATGTATAAAATACTTTAGATAGTGTAAAACTAAATATAGCCTAGCTATTTTTACACTTTCCATTGTAGATGCTCTTACAAAATCCATTTTCTTTATTACTCCGTAAGTGTTTTCTGCATTAAAATGGACCCTAAAATTGTAAAGAAAGTATCAAGTTAGCCTATGAATGATGAATGAAAAGCCCATTTTAATAAACAAGGGCCCATAAATATTCTTCCAACGGCTAGTTAGTGATTTTGCTGGCTCCAGACGCTCTAACGGTCACATTTCTTCCCCATCATTCAAACCCTACTCGCCGATTCAGTCCCTATAAATCCATCTTCTCCCATTCACCATCCTAATCCCATCTCAATCATCTTCTATTTTCCCCACACGATCTTAAAAACCCGTCTGGTAATTTGTGGGATTTTCTCAATTCGTTCCAAGAAAGATTGTTCGTACGTTTTCTTGATCTTTCGAGTCCCCCCCCCCCCAAATGGAGACTCCATCCTCGTCAACCAGGAGAGTGACCCGATCTCAGGCCAAAGCTGCTGCTTCTGCAAATGCCCTCCCCGCCAATAACATCCCCATTTCAAGTCAGTCTTCTTCTCTTACGACTCCCTCTGTTTATCTTCAAAGATCTCTTTTTTGGGTTGTTCTTATACCCAACAATCTGGATTCCGGAAGTTGTTTAAAATTTTCTTGTTCTTGTTGCTCTTTGATGTCTGGGTTACATATAGATTTGGAAAATCTGGGGGAAAAAATTGATTCTTGATCTATGGATTCTATGGACTGTGTATAGATTTCAAGATTCTGTAACTCATCAATCTGTATTCCTGAACACTTTGAAAAATTGAAGAATCTTTCATCTTTTTGGAAAGATTTCTTCCTTTTTTTGTAGTCACTATATACAGTCTGAATTCCTGAATTCAATTATGATTCTATTGTTCTTGTTGGTTTTTTTCTGAATCTTTTCAAAATCCTTCTCAGAGATGAGACTGGAAGAGTGTGAAAGCAAGAAAGGGGAGAAATGCAGACAGAGAAATGGCCGGAACAATCAGCAGCGGCAGCAAGAGAGATGTGCCCTGATTGACATAACAAACGACTCACCCATTATAGGTCTGGCAAAGGGGAGTGTGACGCCATCATCTTCAATGGCGATGGGGAAGAAAAGGGCAATGATGATGTCAACAACTACCGCTACTCCCGGATCCGGGGAGGCTCTTCTGAGAGGCCAAGTCAAGAACTTGCTTCAGAAGGTTGAAGAAGAAAAATCCCATCTTTTTCAACTCCCAATGGGAAACAACAACAACAACAATAACAGACCTTTCCTTGTTCATCTTCAAAGCCCTATGAATCTTCTTGCCCCGACGCCTGCAAACACTCCCCATCTCAACCCCTCTCAGAATCTTCCGCCTTCTCTCACTCCAACTCCTGTTCAAGACAAATTCACCATCTCTCAGGTATTTCAGTCTTTTTGAGATTTTCATACATCTTGATTCCGAAATTCCCAATTTCTTTTTGAACCTAACAGAGGAGAGTGGAGTTTGGATCTGTTTTGCTTGTTTGATCTGTAAAATTGTGTTTTTTTTGGGTGGGATTTGAATTCAGATTATTGTGAATGGGAAAGAGGAGTGTGAAGCTGAGGAGGAGATGAAGGTGACAAGGTCACTGCTGCTGGAATTCTCAGAGAAATTGGAGGGTTCAGGTTCTTCATCAATGGTGACAAATGAGGCTGTGATAACAGCACCAGCTGGAGGTGGGGAAGATGATGTTTCTTCTTCTCGCTGGTCAATTCAGGCCAATGCTGCAAGTGGGAGTACCATTGATGAAGAAGAAGAGTGGGTTGAAGATGAAGAATTTCTAGAAGAAGAAGAAGAAGAAGAATGGGTTGATGATGATCATGAAGAAGAAGAAGGTGAGGGGAAGATGGTATGCAATGGAGGGGATCTTGAAGAGCTGTGCCAGGGGATGAAGAAGATGGGCTTCAACGGAGCAGGGAAGCACGTGAGGTTTGTGTACAACAGTGACGGCGAGATTGAAGGCACCGTGGCGGCGGCAGTGGAGGAGGAGGAGGAGGAGGGCTGCTGCGGCGGTGCTCTGGTTCTGAAGGGCTTGCCACCGCCTAGTGGAAAGCACCTCCGTTTCCATGAAGAAGAGGATGAAGAATAAAGGCACAAAATCCAGTCTTTATATAAAAAAACCTCTGTTGTTCTTTTGTTCTTTTCTTCTTTCTTTATTATCCATTTCTGTTTTCTTTTTTAACTTTCTTTCTTTCTGAAATGTATGCCCAAACACTGTTTCATTGTTCAGTACTCCTGAAATGAACATTGGGAATTTGCAGTTTATCTCCTAATTATAATGCTAAACTTCACAACACTATACTTCCTTCATTAAGTTTTTGCATATCTCTTAATTTTTTCTTTTAAACAAATTCTAATTTTAAATTTTTTCTATTTTTCAACATTTTTTTTACGGTGAGTATCTATACATTCAGATGTACAGTATTCTTCGTACATTTGCATGAATACTCATGGCCGAGTATCCATTTTTGAGTGATAAAATACTTATTTTCGAATATAATTGAATTTTAGAGGAATAAATATTCAATTACTTTAGAATGAGTGTTCACTTGTTTGAAAATGAGCATTTAATTACTCAGCAATCATCATGGATGTTCGGGAAACACCGATTGTACGAGATATATTGCCGAGTAACAATGAACCACAACCCATTTCATGTGTTGTGAAGAATTCTTGGCAAAGTTTAAATTTTAATTTTTACATTAATTTATTCAAAATGAAGGTTGTGTTTGGTTGAGGATAAAATATTTTCTTTAAAAATATTTTTGAAAAAAAAATAATTCAAAGAAAAATTATTCTTCAATCATATAATTCTATGTTTGGTAGAAAATATTTTCTACCAAACCACCAAAAGTAAAAATTAATGTATTTTATGGTATTGTTGAGTATGAATCGGGTCGGCCCATTAAAGAAAGTTGAAAGTGGATATAGGCCGAGGAGGAGGTTGACGAAGAGCTTCTCCAGACAGAAGGAGGGAAGGGGGTTTTGATTCCGCAAGCTTTTTTTGCTGCAATGGCAGGTAACTGTAATAAATACTAACTCTCTGCAGATTTTTGCAATCTGTAGATCCATGGTTTTTTCTTCGCCGTGATGGAGTTGATGCTTGCTCAGGCGGGCAGTCGGAGAGGGAAGACAAGGTTTCGCTCGAACTTACTGAAGAGATCCTTCAGAGCATGGAAGTCGGAATTACCTTTCGCGATTATGTATGTTTTCTTCCGATCAGTTTTCATTCTTCTTCTTCTTTGCTTAATTGTAATAGATGCTGAAGAATTTATTCTAGGTTTGGGAATTTGTTTGTTTATTTATTCATCAATTCTCAAAGACTTGGTAGATTAAGGGTCCGTTTGGTTGGAATTGATGAAATTGGAATTGAATTGGGAGTTGAAATTCTATGGAATTGATTTGGATGGAATTGAGAACTCCAATTCCAATTCATTTTAGGCACTACCAATTCCAAATCCACATATTTTTGTGCTGCCATACAGCAGAATTAAAAATGTTGTCTCCAATTTCAATTTCATAGTTTGAATTCCGTATACCAAACGGAGCCTTAGCTTCTTTGGTAGGTGTTTATTGGTATTATTGGCTTTTGAAACCTTAGGTAAGTGTCCCCCCTAAGTTCAATTTCTAGGTAAGTGTCTTGATTATTCTGGGACTATATGAATTCCAATTTCTTCAAAACCCAGATTGGCATGAATGAAGAAAGCCTTTCTTGAGGTGAGGGTCAAAAACATGTAATGCGATGGCTGTGAAGTGGGAGAGGGAATAACTGAAGAAGGCGGCCGAGTCTGTGAAGATTTTGGAAGAGAAAGATGGATTTAGAGGTTAATCTTAAGAGAGATCAAAGGAGATAGAGGCTAAGCTGGGGATGAGTGGTTTTCTTGCGTGGGTACAAGAAAAGGATAACTCATCAGGTAAACAAATATTCATTTTTGTCAGTGGCTTCTCATAACATGTTCTGGCCCCTGCCTCAAGATAGACTTTCTTCCTACAAGCCCGGGCTGTGATGGCTACAACAAACATGCTCTCCACATCCATATTTTTAGGTTTCAATATAGTCTAGGCAAATACAAAATTAGATCAGGCTTTTTATGTCATTATGCAGAATGGAAGAATCAGTTCATTGGATTTTCACAAGACGTCACCTTACTTGGTCACTGCAAGTGACGATGAATCAATTCGTCTGTATGATGTCACTACTGCTACGTAAGATTCCAGAATTTTGATTTTAATATCAAGCTGAGTTTCTGTTTTACTTATTGTCTTTAGGTTTTAGTAAATCCTGTTTTGTCTTGTTTCGTTATTATTGCTAATGATCCTGAAGTCGTTTTAATTAGCAGGTGTTTAAAGACAATTAATAGCAAAAAGTATGGTGTTGATCTGGTCAGCTTTACTTCCCATCCAACAACTGTAATATATTCTTCAAAGAATGGGTGGGACGGTAAGTCACATTAGACATTCTTCTTGTGTATATAAGCTGCAGTGATAAAATGAACTCAGGTCTATTTGTTAAATGACTTCAGAATCTTTGCGGCTTCTCTCACTGCACGATAACAAATATTTGCGGTATTTCAAGGGGCATCACGACAGGTTAAGGATTGTAAATTAACTCCTAACATATTCATCTTAACATGGTCAAAATCTGATTGAAACTCTATCTTTAGGGTTGTCTCGCTGAGCATGTGTTCCAGAAAGGAATGCTTTATTTCTGGATCTCTTGATCGAACTGTAATGTTATGGGACCAAAGAGCCGAAAGATGCCAGGTAAAAGAAACTACAAAAATGACAACAAAACCCAGCATAATCCCAAATCTGTTACACTATTTTTGGTTCAAGGAACTTGAAAGGGAAAAGAAAAAAAATGATTTGGAAAATATTTTTTCTTTTGGTTAGAGAGGAAAAGAAAATGAGAGGAGAAAATAAACTAAGACAAAAAATAACTTTCCTTCCATTTTGGTGAGGAAAAGGAGAGAAATCAGTGACAGGGATCTTAACATGGTCAAAATCTTACACTTGAAAAAAATACAGAGAGATCTGCTACTCCCCAAGACTTTAAGAAACAGTAGAAGTTTTATGTGTCATTTTGATTTAGTCAATTATTTATGTGAAGCTAAATTGTTTTAAAAAATGACTCTTTTAGCTCCACTTGCAATGGACATAATGCCAGGTTAGAAACTAAGCCGGCATATATCCTTTTGAAATGCTTCTTTTTCACGGAGAATTCTAAACGTTGTGTACTCTCTGCTCTTAGGGCCTTCTACGTACACAAGGAAGACCAGCTACGGCTTATGATGAGCAAGGGCTTGTTTTTGCTATTGCTTTTGGAGGATACATAAGAATGTTTGATGCACGCAAGTATGAAAAGGCTAGTAAATTAATGGAAAAGGATTGAAATTATCCAGTATATCCTCTTTTTTTGCCACTAAAACTGAAATCATTAAAGTTTCATTCTTGAAGGGGCCATTTGAAATATTTTCAGTTGGTGGAGACGTATCAGATGCTAATGTTGTCAAGTTCAGCACTGATGGAAGGCTTATGCTTTTGACTACTTCAGATGGAAAAATCCATGTCCTTGATTCGTTCCGTGGCACACTGGTGAGTTGCCTTCTCCTGATTTTGAGGAATTCGTTTCGGGAAAGTATGGTTGGAGTGGAAGCTTTAGAGGACTCGAGTCTATATTCTGATATATGTTTCAGATTTTAAAATATATAAAATTTTGAAAGATTAACATGACATGTGATGGTATAACATTTCAAACACCTTTTATCTGCTTTGAGAGATGCTATTTACCAATATGTAAACTAAGCCCTCCAAAACCCTCCTCTCTACAACCATCCATATACACAAATGTTTTGCGGGTTTTGCGAAACATATTTTTTGACGTGCTATATGATGATACATATGTTCCAGTTGTCAACATATAATGTGAAGCCCGTTTTATCGGATTTAACTTTGGAGGCATCTTTTAGCCCTGAAGGAATGTTTGTCATGTCAGGTATTACAATTTATGGAACTTTTTCTTTACGTCTTTTGGTGGTTCTATACACACACACACACACACACACACACACACACATTCTGCTCCTTCAAATTATATAGAGTATGTGGTGTTATACTGCATATAGATATGGTTGTCAACTCCTTGTATCTTTATCCACTGAGAATATTTTCTTGTCTTCTACTTTGGTGTCCGGATACTAAGTCAAAGTCACATAGGGTTTTGTGCAAGTATATTTTCTTTAAACCTTGAGAAATTGATAAACAACATTCATCTTGGCTTCAAAAGTCACAATTATTTTAATATATACTTGCCAGGTTCAGGGGATGGCAGTGTATATGCTTGGAGTGTCCGGAGTGGCAAAGAGGTACGTGTGTCCTACACATTTTAACTAATGTGATCAACAACTCCTTTGATAATTCATGTGGGCAAGCACAAAGCGTGCGTGAGGTTCCAAGGGTACGTGGGAAGGTCCCTCCATAAGGGTGTGATAGGTTTGCCAAATCAAACTCAAGAGAAAGTTTTAGGATGGAGGGAGTAATTCATATACATTGTTAATTAGAGTAAATGATTGAAATTTCATCCCACATACTCCCTCCATTCCATATTAACTGTCTAAGATATTTTTGATACATTGAAAAATGAATGAATGTAGACATAGTATGTCTACATTCATTCATTTTTCAATGTATCAAAAATATCTTACTTCCTCTGTCCACCATAGATCTTCGCAGACACTATTCACAAGGTCAAACTTTACTCACTTTGTTTGCTCAATTTTACTAGCCATTTCATAAAATAATATAGTCCTGTCACCTCTAGTTTTGTAGAACTTTTCATATAGTTTATTACTATATAAATTTTATTTTAAAATTTTACTCTTATAATCAATTAAATTGAATTAAAAACAAAGTCGGTCAAACCTCGTAACGCGTAATGGGAAGATCATACATGGACGGAGGGAGTATTATACATTTAATACAGAATGGAGGGAGTAGCTCTAGCTCTCTTTTTTCATTTGATTTGTTTTTATACGTATACCTTTCCCTCCAAACAGGCTATTTCTTTATCTATGCATTGTATTAGCTTTTCCTTAGACCAACTACTTGTTGTGTTCAACCTCGCCCTCGCTAATAGGTTTGTTTTTTTACCAATCAGGTTGCATGTTGGATGAGTACAGACGTCGAACCTCCATGTATAAAATGGGCCCCGGGAAGCTTGATGTACGCAACCGGTTCTTCTGAGCTATCGTTTTGGGTTCCGGACTTGTCCAAATTGTCCGCTTATGTGGGAAGGAAATAAACAGAGCCACAAAGGTATTGTTATGTTGTTCTTTTCAGAGCCTAAGGGCCTGTTTGGGTGGAAATACTTGCAGTTAAGCTCATGTACTTTGTTTATTGTATATTTTGATTTTAGAATACTTGTCCCTACCAATTTATTGTCTATTTTTCTTGGTTAAAGTTCACAAGTTCTTATTGAGTTTTGCGAGCAATTTGTGCTCGATATTTTTCAACGTGTTACATTCAAAAAAAAGTTTCGCAACAAATTGTCACTTTGTTTCATCTGAGAAATTGGCCGAAAAAGCATAATGGAAGCTCTTTGGAACTCGAGGCCAAAATTTTGAATTGAGTTTAATGCGGTATAGTTGACTATTTTTAGGGGTTCTACTCGACCCATTGGATAATCGAACCACTTGACTCGATCTAATGGATGAGAACTTGAAATAAAAGGACGATGAGCGGATGATGAACGAATTGATAATGGAGTGGATCAGAGTGGTTGAATATTTTCCTCATGTTACCTGACCCATCACCTAGTTTGTAATGAAGATTATTTCTTTGCAAGATTCCATCATGAACATTATTAATTTTGTACTCTGTATTTTAAAAGATGTTCTGAGTTAAGTGCTCTTAAGTTTTCTATTTCATGTAATGAATAATACTCCATCTGTTCTAAAATTAACTTCCTGGCTTGACTTTTGTAGTCAAATTTTTAAACTTTGACCGTATATTACGGAAAAAATACATTGAATTTTTATATAAATTTATTAGCAATAGATTCAGTTTGAAACATAATTTTGAAATATATAATTTGTATAAAATATATTTATATAAAAATTGAAATATTGATGGTCAAAGTATCGCATTAGAAACCGTGAAAAGTCAAATGAGAAGTTAATTTTATGACGGAGGGAGTGTTTTATTCGTGGGTGATGGATGTATCGGAAGATGGGTGACACATGTTCTAGATGATGAATAGATCGAGAGATAGATAGAGTTAACTAATAGATGAGTGAAGCTCTACCTCACCAAAACTCAATTTATTGCCCTTCATAATTATTTTGAGCCTGAATTATTTCAAATTGTTTTTAAAAGAAAAAAAAAACCGCCCCCTAAAATTCCATCAATTTTTTGGACCATTTGAAAATTGGCAAAAAATGTAATTAGTCTTTTGGCTTTAATTCTAGGTTGGTAATATTTTTTCAAATCACACTACCAAAACAAAGCTAAAAAAACACAACCGGTTCTCAACCAAACCATGAGGCTATGAGAGTAAGCATTTATTTCAGCTCAGTTTTGACCAAACCAAAATGAATTTGACACAAACCAAAAACATATTTCTCAAACCATATTCATCTTAACCAAACCAAAACCGGGAAAACATTCAAAACCGAACCAAACCAAAACGCCAACCGAAACCTAACGAAATGCTCTGCAGTACTTAAAAGAAAACATCACCAGTGCCATCAAGGGAGATGTCGGTCAAATTTCACCGTTCGCCGATACGAATGGTCGGCTGATTTTTCTAAGTCGACAACCACTCTTGGGTTATTCCTTTGTTGGGCTTGACCCAGCGAGTGCCTCGGCTCTACAAAGCCCCTTTCTACGGGCCTTCTTCGGTTGCCCCTCACATTGTCCTCAAGCCCAACTGAGTGTTTCTTCATATCATGATTATGTTGCCTCCTCTGTCGGGGAGTCTTTGATTTCTTGGATTTGTCTACTTCATATGATATGGGCTGAAGGCCTTGCAAATCAGGGTCGGGTACATATCCGAGGGGTCGTTTGGATTCAGCCATTTTCCGAAATGTAATCAAAATCCTGCTTCATGATAAATCATTTGTTATTTAAAAAATATTAACAAATGATTAAAGTAATACTCCCTTCATTCCATATTAGCGACTATTAAGAGTTAAGACTTTCTTGATACATTGAGAAATGAATGAATGTAGACATGTTTTATGTCTACATTCATTCAGTTTTCAATTTACCAAGAAAGTCTTAGTAGATAGTTAATGTGAGATGGAGGAAGTAAGTAATAAAAACAAATAAAGTTTCACCTTGTGAATAGTAAAGGAGAAATTTAATTAGGGGCATAGGGAGTAAACACTATGATGAATTAATTTTATGCTAGTATTTTGTAAGACAAATCTTACTTTTTTTTATTTTTTAATCATTTATCATTCAATGTATCTTTAAACACATTAATGGTCAAAATTTGTAAAAAAAAACTCCAAAAAAGCAAAGTAGAGAAATACATTGGAATGGAGGTAGTAGTTTTCATACTTTAACTTTCACATCCTAAACAGTTTTTTGCATTCGGAATCGACATAACTTGCAAAAAACTGACAATATCGAAAAAGGCGACATTGTGGCATGAGTGCATAACATGTTTGAATTTGTACCTTTTGGCAGAAACTGCTTGAAGGCAGTGCTTAGCGACGTCAGCTCCTTTCCCATTCAACACAAGAACAGATCTGAGGAATATTGTGTCATTAGTCCTTATAAAGTGGATAAAGATTCACAAGCTTTCATTTCATGAAAGATGAAGAAGAGCAGAGAAATATCCACTCACCCGACGGGCAAGGAAATTGCAGTTGGACCATCAAACTTTCCGGGACCCAACACTTTCGGGTTTGATCCAAAAACCATGTCACATTCACTGAGGAAGGAGACTATACAAAAAGGCCGAAGAAAATCTTGATTTTCAATGCGTGGTGGTATGCAATCTCCCTCTTCGTAAATATTCACAACACAACTATCGGGAATGGAGTTAGGAGGTATCACATGCCACTTAACAAGTCTTTTGATCATGTCTTTCAAAAGTGGAGGTATAGGATCAAGGGTATTATCGTCTTTGAGGATGCCTGGGGGATCTCCATTTTTATCCTTCCATCAACACAATTCCATTATCGGTCAACCAAGTGTTATATTTTCTATTTGTGTATACTAGTCCCCAATCAAAAACCTACTATCCTTCCCCAATCTCTCTATCCACACAGTCACACCTAAACTCCATTTGTCCTAAAATTAACTTCTTATTTGAAAATGACACAAAATTTATGAAAAGTAAAAGTGTGGTTAAAGTTTCTGCATATGAGAGGGAGAACATGAACCATTATTTCTATCCTTTATATCCTTAAAAAGAATGAGAAGGTTATTTTAGGATGTCCAAAAAGGGAAAAGTGGAAAGATGATTTTGGGATGGAGGGAGTATACCCTAGTAGACATCCAATGCAAGATACTCCACAATAAGAAAATTAAAAAAATAAGGAAAAACACATTCCTTGGGGAGTGGGGTAATGTTTTGTCCCTGCTAAATGCTAACATAAAATTTCAGCTTATGCGCAAGAGGTTTGCATTGATAAATTGCTTACCGTTGCATAGTTGTGACACCAACCAAATTGAAAAGTCCCTCGCCCCCTGCCATCCATACAATTTTCTGGTGCAGTATAACTTGTCTCTGCAACATTATTTGAAGTGAGGATCAACCACAGAAAATAAATAATAAAAATGACAAGGTCACATCAACGCTGAAACTTATGAAAGAAGCCTCAAGGAGATTACTATAATATAATCCAGGTCTTTTGCGTATGCAATGAAATAAAGTCTTGTAATGTTAGCAATGCCTTACTGAATATAGTAAATGAAAAGAAGGTTATAATCTGATCAATTGATACATTCGTCACCTACATTATAATCTCTAATGAAAAGCACTACACTGTTGGTGGCGGGAAGCATACTAATATACTAATAATATGACGTTGCAATTTTCGGGGATGGGGTTGGGGTGGGAGTGGAGGTGACAGAAACCAGGTCTAATTTGAAGTATGTTGAGGGGTTTCATCTCAAACGATAATCTTGTAAAATAAGAAACTACTATTACGGATATGACTTAATTTACAACTTTTCCCTTCAAAAGACTATTACAATGCTTTTGTAGAGAAATAACGACTCTACACCAAATAAGAATAGAAATCTAATACCTTAACCAAACAAGAACAATAACCATTCAAAAAAGCCACTAGTGAAATATACAAATCGTTTTTATGGTTACATATAAAGAAAATAAAAATGTTACAAAAGAAACATGTCTAGGGAGAATCTAATGCTCATGACCAACAACAACAAACCCAATGTATTGCCACAAGTAGGGTCTGGGGAGGGTAGGATATACATAGACCTTACTTCTACACATAAAGGGTGGAGAAGTTGTTCCCGATAGACCCTAGATGACTCATGACCGAACTAGATAAAAGTATAAACTAAAGCCAATTGGAGAATCACCAGCAAACTTGTCCTAGACATATTTTTGTTGTCCTTTCACTTTCAAGGTGCAAAAGTAGACTAATGGTAGAGGTGTAAAATTTTTCAAAATTCGGCCAAGAATTTTTTTCAAAATCGTGATGGTTCTATCCCAACTACTAAGTACCAAAAAGTTACGGAGTATAAAAAAGGCTTTTGTAATGTCTCAGCCATAGCAGAGGTTGATTTTCTTACTTTAACTTACAAAAGAAATACAGTAAAAGATTCTACCATTCAAAACTTGACACTGAGCCCATTGCCTTCTCCATTCAAAAGAGCATAAAGCACAACTATTTTTACTAGAAAATATTGCAGGAAATGACCAGGGAAAATGCAAAAAAATAAAATGAAAATGCAGGCTATGAAGCTAGAGTTTTGAACCATGCAATTACACTTGATGACTCGACCTATGTAACTCAAGATGCATTGGGATACTTGAAAGTCTGGTAGGAAAAGATTCCAATTAAATATTCAACAATCCAATGCTTTCATATTATAAAAGCTAAGTTCCATAAGATAAATCAGGAAACACTCTAACTTTAACATAAGCAGAGCTTGAATTGATCCACGATTAATTCAAGAGAAGCTGAAATTGAACAAAATACTAAAGCACAGTCAATTTTTGGGTCACCGGAGTCTAAAATATAGTGGTGGAAAGAGAGGGAAGGGTTTTGGAATGAACAATAAAAGTAGGAAAAAGTGAAAGTAAGCCTCTAGGCTACATCGTTTTGACTAAACCATGTACCTAGCCGTACTGAGACATGCTCATTTAAACAAAAGTAAAACAAAAAAAAGGTATGTACTCAGACTCAGCTGCACAAAGGGGCATTTGCCAAATTGAAATACCCATGCATCATAATATGAAACTAGACCTTCGGGCATTTGGTAACAAACAGCTCAACATCTATTATTGCGTGCAACACATAGTTATTAAAGGCGCTCGCCTCTCTCGCCTATGGCGCCTCAGGCGAGCTCTCAGCGCCTCAAGGAAGCCAGGCGAGGCGAGATCCCTAAGGCGCGCCTAAGGCGGGCGCCTTTCTCGCCTCAATTCCTGCCTCAGGCGTTCGCCTAGCTCGCCTTAATCACACACACACACACACACACACACACACACACACACACACACACACACACACACACACACACACAGATATACATACATACATACATACATAG